AATATGTTTCAACAGTTAGAAGTACTGTAATTCAGACACCATCTGGAAAGTCTCCAGTGGAAATGTCTTCCCACTATGTGCTATAAATCTATTTGAGAAAACACATTTGCAGGCTCCTTTGAAGAACTCCATCATATTGATTGCTGCTGAGTCAGAGTTATGATTTCCCTGTAATTTCCCTTGTTCTTTAGTCCAAACAGTTAATTACGTAGGTAGATTTCAGAGTAGCAGCCGTGTTAGTCTGTATCCGCAAAAATAACAGGAGTACTTGTGGCACCTTAGAGACTAACAAATTTATTAGAGGTTGTAGCCCACGAAAGCTTATGCTCTAATAAATTTGTTAGTCTCTAAGGTGCCACAAGTACTCCTGTTATTTTTACGTAGGTAGAGACACCAGCAACTGACAGACAAGTTATACTGGAGTCTAATGTTTTATTATTATTACAGGTAATGGCTGGCTAGGGGGCGGGGCCTCAAGGGAAGAGGAGGAGGGGCAGGCCCTCATGGTGAGGGGGAGCTAAGGCCCACCTCAGCCCACCCCACCCAGAAGAGGCTGGCGCCACCCCTGAACCTCGGGCAGGCACAGAGCAGCGCTACAGGGAAGCCAGGACAAATGCTGTCCTGGAGTCATTCAACTTGGGACCAGGACTTGAACTCGGAATTTTTGGGACTGTCTTCTCGTTCTCTCTGTCCCCGCCCTCTTTCAGGATGGTTGGTCACCCTAAGTCCAGAGAAATAGCAACAATCTCGGAGCAAGCAACCTGTAGTTGCTAGACATATACATTACAAAGTAATAAATAGGTGTTAAGTATTATTATTATTTAGCACATTTCATCTTTAAATCCCTTTACAAAAAGCACACTACACCTGTGCTAGGAGGGTGGTAATATCTGTACACTACAGATGGGGAAACTGAAGCAGAGAAGGTAAGGGCCCAGTCCTGAAAGCCCACCATGTGTAAATCTCTATCTTCAATGGATTGTCTATGAAGAGTCTACTAACATGTTAAATAAATATCACCAAGTGCACTATAACTACTGTAGGCAACCCCAAACTACTGTAATTTTTTAAAATTAAATAAATAAAAATGATTTTTGCTAAACTGGGCAGCTGAGTCATCAACACCTGTCCTTTCAAGAGGACAAAGGAGTCACAAGGATGTGGCCTTTAAATAGGTCATTTATATTCTTAACATCCTCAGCAGGAAGCACTGTCTGGTTTGGATTGATAGTCATTCAACTTCCAAAAATGTTAAGTGCTGCCCTTCATCTATTGGTTTTTGTTCAAATCCACCTCAGACTTAGCTAAACTCAATTTACACATATGCCGACTTCTTTCAGGCTAAAAGAAGACACTCTGGAATCTTGCACTGTACCAAAGAGGTTTGCTTTGGTCAAAAGATACATTGAGTCTCCATATTATAACTATGCACTTTCAATATCACTAGTTCATCCTCCTTGAGTAACTGACAACTATAATCCAAAGGATGTGTGTTTGTGGGTTTTTTTGTTTGTTCGTTTTTAAATGAAAGCACAGGTTGTCAGTGGTCTGGCAACCTACAATCTGGATTTTTTCACACATCAAAAGACCTGGATTCCTGTGTAGATTTCTCTAAGTCTACAACATCAAAATCACAATGGTCTACCCTGGGCATTATATTGCCTTAGGTTTTGTCTGTGTGGTGTATTTTGAAAACCAGCATTGCAACATGTTTAACACCAATGTAACCATGTGCTTCATAGTTATCACAGTTTAAATTATTTGCAGAGAAAAATAAATAAATACTGCCCACCTTCAATTCAGCAGTGCAAGCCACCCATCAGTAATAGCACCACTTCAGACCAAAACAAGTTAAAAAATTAAACAGCACACAAAAGTATTTGTAGTGACCTATAGCAACCTACAGGCAGCCACCATGCTTGTCAGCTAATTGCATCCATTTGGAATATAACTCATGTCCTCTGGCTTCATAAACAGGCCTTCGTCAACAAGCTCAGGCAATGATTCTGTTGATGAATATTTGAGTACAATCTGAGCTATTAGTCACTTGCCTGCTTTGGGGGGGGGGGGTACACAGCTGCCCCACCCCAGCAGCAGCACCAGGATGCATTGTGCCTTGTGGAAGAACAGCACGTCCTGGAGCTTCCCAGAATATAACGGCGCACACTTGCAGTTACACTCTGTAAAAGACACAGCGTGAACTCCCCCTCTATGGACAACTCTACTGGCCATTCCCTTTTTACCACAACTTATGTAGCTAACACCTGCAGGAGTACCAATGAGGAGCAGTCTGCAATTATGTCTGGCTTTTGTGTGCGCGCAGAAGGTTGAGAGAGATTCCTTGTGCTCCTCTCTCTCTCCTCTCTCTCTCCCCTGCCCCTGCCCCTGTTCAGGGCTGGCCAGTAGGGTACAATGGTAAACATGCAATTTCATATACATTCAGTGCTTTCAAAAAAGAGCCCACTCCACTCTCGCTGAAGTCAATTAACAGACTCATTGACTTCAATGGGAGCCAGCCTTAAAGGTACCAAGCTTAATCTTCAAGTCAAGTCATCCAAGTTGACAGGAAAGCAATTTCCTAATCATTTTACACATACTATTTTTTCCCCCTTGGAAATTCCCAAGATGAGAAACAGTGGCAGTGCCAACCTATACAGGTTTTTTCCACATGGAGAAAAATGATCTATTCTCAAGCTGATCATAAGCATGGGAGAAAACTAGCTTTATACCATCAGTCACTGAACTCCACCTATTGTCCATGTGAAAAGAGGATTATTTTAAGAGTTTTTAGGTAAATTATTTCAGGGAGTTCCCCTGAAGACGCTGTCTGGGGTGTGAGTTGGATAAGTGAGCTGCCTTCTTAGCACAGTTCAGTGATAGTTGGCCATTCTATACTTTTTAAGATGAGAAATGAGCAGACAAAAAGAATATGAAGCTTAATAAAATGTTCAACAGTGAAATCATTGGGTGTGTGTCTTTATTATAAACACACTATTTTTAATACAAGGACATGTGAATGAGTGCATTAGATTTCAGGGATAGAAATAGTTTCAGTTATATGCTTTTTTTCTCCTCCAGAACCCATTTGCCTAGCTCTACAGAAGAGGCCTAAACTAAATATTTCCCCAAATTAACTAAAACTTCACTTCACTTCACGACACACCAAAAAATAAAAACAAACATATAAAAAAGCATGATCTTGGACAAATTAGAAAATGAATATTAAAGATCGGCCTATAAAGAATTCAGCCAACCGAAAGAGGTTGTCATCTTAACTTCTGTTCACTATTTTTTTTTAATAAGAAAGAACTGTCTACCTGCATTCTTGGATTTCTATCAGCAAGAAGCTAGAATGGAATGTTTAAAAGCAGGACTTCATACTCAAAACTACATGAGAGGCAACAATCCGAAAGACTGTGGCATCCCAGTCAAGAAACTAACTTTCCCAAACCAGGAGATTTTGCCATTATCATCTTTTCTTATGAACAAGCAGGATTCACTAAATTCCCTTCAGTGGCGCACTCCTATGAACATTCATCACTAGATGACTCTAGAGTCACATGAGCACATTCAGAAGGGGCAGCTGCTTTTCTTGATAGAGGTACATTATTACCTTCAACCAGATCACTTTATGATCCGGAAGAAGGTACAGCTAGTTTGACAAGTGTGTCTCTATGATACTGCACACATATAGGGCGGGGCACATCTTCCAAGAGTTGTAAAGAACAGACTTCTGGAAAAAGCTGCTGCCACCATTCCCCATTTGCACAAGTGGCCTTTAGAAAAAGAATGTGTAATCAGTGCCTGGGGCTGGAGACACATAAAAAAAGCAGCTAATTTGAAGGAATTCATTACAACAGGCGGGGGAGGTGGGAGGAGGAGACTACATGAGAAATGTCCCACAATGGGACACTTGATACAGCCCCACCTGTTCCCAAAACCTTTTAGAGATGCTACTGCCTTAAGGGCTTCCCGCAGCAAATAGCAGCTGTGGAGAGATGTGCCACAGCTGTTTGCAGCTGGAAACCCCTGAAGCAGCAGCAATAGCACTAGTTGTATTCAGGGTTTGGGTTTCATTCGCTGCTTGTTGCATTCTCACTCCCTTATCTTCCTTGTCCCCCTCCTAAAGGAAAAAGTCACAGACACACACAACTTGGCTGTGGGAATCTCACAGGAGAGTCTATTAAACAGGGGCCTCTAGTACAGCTGCATGGTTCAAAAATAAACAAACCATCCAACAAGAAAATCTTAAAATCAAACTATTCAAGTCTTCTCATCAAAGTGTTTATAAAAATCAGACCTCGCCATGGCAGGGGTTTTGAAGGAGAGCCAGTCAGCTTTAGGTAGCTTATTGTCACTGAATCAGCTACTGCCATTGACACAAAAAGAAGCAAAAGCGCAGACTATGATTATTGTCTGTCTTCAGCAGCACCCAATATAGGTTGGGTACTGTAGGCAGCAAAGAAGAGTTTACCCTACCCCTGAAAGTTTACAATCTAGAGACAAGTCAGAGGGTGCAACATACAAAACTAACAGTGCAGGTTCCGTGAGCCCTTGGAAAGCCTCCTGAAGTTACACTGAGAAGTTTGCAGCAGTTCTTTTCTTTCCCTCAGTTATGCCTGGGCGTCCCAGGACACGAGGAATTACAGGTGATTACCAAATAATGCTGCAGTGGGAGCACCCCACTCAAACAGCATGGGAGAGAAGGGGAAGAGCAGATGGGACAACTCTCATCTCTTAGTCCAGCATCTCCACCTGGAGAGATGTTAGTTCTCTCTACCTAGGCAAGCTATGCATAGGGTTAGGCTCAGTAATGTACATTAAGCACTAGTAAGCTATCTAGTGCAATGAACTAGGTACAGCGTACAGAGACGAGGGCTCCCAATAGGTGCACGTCTGAAAGCGAATGGGGCAGGTGATGGGGGAGGGGGGTAAGTTTCGCCACTGGGTTTGCATTAGTCCTGTAAATACTCGTGATAAGAAACAAGAGAGCCACTTACCATCTCGCCTGAGATTAGAGGATCGCAAGGCTTTTATAGATCCGCTCTGGGCAGTGGTGCCCTGACGGCTGCAAAAGTTTGCACAGACTACAACGTAGAGAAGGAGGCGGACGGACAGTTGCATTGGGATCCGCTGTGAGGGGGACCGTATCTGCCCAAAGAAACCCGGCTCCCTCCTCCAAGGAAGCCTCCCTCACCTCTTTCCCCCTATGGGGTGGGGTGGTCTTTTGGATGCTGAGTCAAAAGCCCCTGAGCTACTCTCCGAGCTGCCCCCAAACTTCCTGCATTGCTGAACTTTCTGCTGGGGATCGCTGCCTTCCGAGCTCGGCAGGTGATACGGCAAGGGGAAGGACAGGGCGAGCCCACACCCCACCGGCAGCGGCAGCAGCAGAGGCTGGCGAAGTGCCCCTAACTCGGCAGGAGATCACAAGGTGCCGCTGCTGCAGCTGGGCTCCGAGCAGGCGGGCTGGGCTGAGCCAAGCCCGGAGACACACACTGACCCCAGCCTTGGGGCTGCCTGTTCCTGCTGAAGTTGCTGCTCAGCGGTGGCGGCGGCGGCAGCTGGTGCCTACAGGCTCGGCAGCCCCCAGTGCAGCGCTGCGGGCGCGGGCAGCGCACAGCATGTCTGGAGGGAGCGGGCTCCTGCCGTGTCATTCGGGAGGAAGAACACGGCGGCGGCGGCTCCTCCAGGGGGAGGAAGGAGGCGGCTCTGGCCTTGGGGGCAGGGAAGGGGCGGGAGTGGCAGTGACCGGGGAAAGGCAGCGTGGCGGGCCAGGCCGGGGGGTGGAGAGGTGGGGCCAGCTATGGCCGGAGAAGGAAGGCGGCGCCGGCCAGGGGGTGCCTCAGGGGATCAGGGTGGCGGCTCCAGCCAGCTGGTGGCTGCGGCTCACTGGGCCGTCTAGCGGCCAAGCTGGCCCCGCCCGTTCTCATGGGCATGGGGCAGGATTCGAAGCCCCCCCAGCGTCCCCTGGTGGCCACAGAGAGCCCCTCACGCTGTGCCAAGGCGAGGGGTCAGCGCTAGGCGGCCACCCCCTGAGTGCCCATGGCAGCGTGCCTGAGGTGGAGCAGGGTTGGGAAGGTAGATTGTAACCCTTCTGCCAGTCCACCTGCCATAAGAAGGGCGGGGTCCTTATTTTAAGGGATTCGCCTCTGCTTTTTTTGTATCAAGCCCCCTACCCAGTAATCTGGCAACCTGTAAACACTTGGCCTGACAAATCTGCACCCACTCGCAAGCAGAGAGGTGTCAACAAATGAACTTTGGGTGAAGGGAGTGGAGAAAAGGGAAAGACCAGTGTGAAGTGGGACAAATATTTACAATTTAACACCTTCCACCACCGTTTACCTCAGGGTGCATAAGTCACAGTCCCAAACATTTGGACCCTGAATGGCTGATGCACTTCTGCCTCCCATCCTCCCACTCTCAGTTTGTGGGTTCCCAACTTTCTCACTCACAGCTTGTGGTTCCAGGAGTCCAGAAAAATCAGGGTTCCTGTTTCATAGAACGGAAGTTCTGGGGCTCTACCACCTATCCTGCTATAGTGATTTCAACAGGTAGGACAGTGAGGCCTCACCTGAGTTGCTAGACTGACATAGACTGTTGCTGTGAATTCCTCTGCTCTCATTCTGCTGTTCACCTGCTGGAAGCTATATCCTCTGGGTAAATCCACCTTCCTCTTTGCTTTGGGTGTTATGGCTGGACCCAACTGCTACGATGCTCTGCCTACTGCTCAGGTGACTGGAACTGCTGCTGGTCTTTTACCTTTGTTTGCCACTGGCTAGACAACTGAAATCTCTGGTGAGGTCTGGCCACATAAAGCACTTACAGCTTTTTACTCAGCTCTCTCTGATACAAGACAATCAGTAGTCTTAGAAACCCCTCAGAGTCCCTTCTACCCAAAGCACTTTTACCAGCACCAAGCCCCTTAGCTCTGGCCAGGACCTTTTACACCACCAATAATTAATAATTAATAACCATTAATTAATAATTAGTTAATGGGGATATCCTATCTCCTAGAACTGGAAGGTACCTTGAAAGGTCATCGAGTCCAGCCCCCTGCCTTCAGTAGCAGGACCTTGGCAAACATCAGTTTTCATCAGGTGGCCCCATACCCAGTCATTGTCCAAGCTTTGCCCAGGTGGGTTCCCAACAGGGTATGCTCAAAATTAAGCGTCCCAAATACAAAACTTTATCAAATTATCCCCCAATGTCCACAAACTACTGGCAGTTGATATTTAAATGAGGTAGTGCCTCACTCAGTCAACTCCCCTTGCTCTCCAGCAGATGACATTAGAGAGCTCACTCAATTACAGTACCTCTATTCTCTCCTAGGCTTCAGGCCACAGAGCTTACAAGAGGGTAAGTCAAGAACTCAAGCAATAAAAATACAGTGATAAAGCTGAAAACTCATCTTAAACTCCACCCCAGGTGCTTATGCCTTGAAATAGCTCTCTGTTTACATCATCGTCATCATTATCAAAGATTTGTCAATTAATTTAACACATATTATAAAACAAACAAGATTATTTTATACAGTCAGTTACGATACAACACATACAATAGAATGTTCAGAATTGACTTGCTTTTTAAGTCATGCACAAACCAAGACAAGGGTGTAGCAAGTCAATTCTTTTCAAGAATACTTAAAATAAATACTTAAAATCAGCCAGGTGTGGGGTTTTTTTGAGATCGGCTTTAAAATCGAGCACTTGAGAATGTTGTCTAGGGTTTTAGCTTTAAAATTATCTTATTTGTAGCTTTCAGATGCCTCAGAGTTGAAGATGCTACTTTGTGCTGCAATTATTACTTGTATTACTGTAATGCCTAAAGGCTGCCCTGTACAAACAAACAGTAAGATATAGCCACCACCGAAAGTGCTTACAAATAGATAAGACAAACAGAGGATGTGAAGGAAAACAGAAGGCAAACAGACACACGGAGAGATGAAGTGACATGCCCAAGGTCACACAGCAGTTCAGTAGCATATTTGGGAATAGAGCCAGGTCTCCTATCTCCCACTCCTGTTGCCTATCCACTAGACCCATACTGCGGAGTGGCTTTCACAGTTCCACACACATAACACATTGTTATACATAAGTTAACAAACAGGCACTAGTTAAATACTTCCCCTTTAAGCAGAATTTATGTTAATAGTGTGCTAATAACCTTGCACTATCTAGCTAAATCAGTTTTGCCGGGGACAACCCAACAAGGCAGCCATATTGATTGAGTATGTTCCCATTAAGTAGAGTGTACAGTAAAAATATTTTTCATTTATCTAGCTCCTTCATACTGAAGTACTTTCTAAATTAAATGCTGAACAGCATTGGCCTCTGGACTGAAGGGTAAGAGCCAAACAGCATATTGAGCAAGAGTGAGAAAGAGAGTAATTTTACACAAATCAAGCCCTGTGTTTGCTTATAAAAATCACTGCAGACATTTTAATGACCACAAAGAGAAGGTCACCAGATTCTTTATTTGGAATTTAATGTATCTACCTTGATGATGAAGGACTGAGCCAACCCTTTTTAGAGTTGAGCCTATGGCTCCATGAAGAAATTAAACATTTTAAACCTGGTACGCCTCAAAATCATCCCCTCCAGCAGAATCTTAAAGCTGTATTGCTAATGCACACACCTTCTCTATCATTTTTTAAAAATCATCATATCTGCTGCAAATGCTTCTGACAAAAATTTCTCGTCTCTTCTTCTCATCTCATTTTTTATTATACACACACACACACACACAAAACCTATGTTAAAAACACATTAAAGTTGCAAAGTCCAGCATTCAAAAGATAGGAGATGTTAGCATTAAGGTTGCTGCCACAACTTTAGTTCAGCCCCCTTGTGTATATGCATTTTGATACAGTTTTTAGTTACATGATCACATACTATATTTTCACAGGACCCCTACCTCATTCAGTGCAGAGGATGGATAATCCTCACTTAATGAGCAGCTATTGCATATTTTGGTTTATCCTCATTTTTCAATATGTGGTGCCTGGCCTTATTTACTGCACACTATTCAAACCCTGTTCTCAAGTCAGAGTTATTCATTTCCTCATGGGCTTTTGTATAGTACCCAACCACTTCACAAACATTAATTTATCTTCACAACACCCTGGTAGGTGAGGGGTATTATGTCTATTTTGTAGATAGGGAACTGAGGCAGAGAGTGATTAAGGTCAACAATTTCCATTAATTTTGGTTGCCCAATTTGAGACACCAAGGATCTGATTTTTCAGAGTACTTAGCATTATCTAGTATGTTATATGTCTTGTAAAGGAACCACTCAGTACAACAAAAATAACACTTTACTGACAGGACTGCCAGCTGGGGGATTTGCTGGTTTATCCACCTGCATCACATCAAAGTGTGGGAATTCCTCTCACTGACAAACAGTTAGTAGGGAGGGATAGAGTATGGCCCCATCCCCTATACACAGGGTAACCCAGTTAGCCCATGAGGACCCTACTACAGTATGTTTAAAGCACAGCTCTGATTTACTTCAATTGCAGCTGTGTGTGCTCAGCACTTCTACAAATCAGAATCCAGTGTTTCTCAAGTCAGGTACCCAGAAATTGAAGGGGACACAATTACTGACCACCTGTGAAAAGTTTGGTTTAAGTGACTTGCCCAACATCACACAGGAAGTTTGTGGCACATAGGCTTGAATCCGATTTTCCAAGGTAGCACTGGATTGTTTTAACAATCTTTCTCCTCCCGCAAGTCCCTGCCTCATTCACTGTACACCTTCCAACTTCTGTAACCAGTGAAGAAAGGTCCTATGGACAACAACTTCCTTCACTACCCTACCCTGCTCCATTGCCAGAGCAGGTCCATCCTGTGCACTAAATGAAGGGGTCTCCTGTGAGATCTCTATGAGCTGTCAGTCTCCTGTCAAGACTTCCTCAGGACCTGGAAGCTTGTCTTGGCAAATAGGCCTGTTGCAGCTGCTGAGGGAGAACATTGCCTCCCTGAACCCCTGCTGCATAATCCATGCCTGATTGTGCAGGTGGTGGAGGCCACCTCGGTGCCCCGAAGATTGGTCCTGGCTGACATCATCAGAGCTGGAGACCTCCTGGACTATGGTCTGAGGGATTGGGTGGACCCCATGGCAGCTATTGCATATTTTGTTTTATCCTCATTTTTCAATATGTGGTGCCGGGCCTTATTTACTGCACACTATTCAAACCCTGCTCTCAAGACAGAGTTATTCGTTTCCTCATGGGCTTTTGTATATGGTTGCCCACACCATGCATTCACCATTGTGTGCTCCAGGAAGTGAGGGCAACCTTGCCCCGCTTCTCTTTCTTCTCTCAAGTGGGACCCTGCCATCAGGTCCCTGTACCGTGAGCCCCCTAACTACCTCCAATGCACCACCTAAATCAACTGCTCTGCAATGCACAACCTAAGTCCAGCCAGTCTATCTCTGAACCACGCCTCATCCACTTCCTCTCCCTCATGTCCTGCCTCAATACTAAGTGGTGGGACCTCTTGCCACCTCTTGAGAGTGGCGAACCCAAGTGTGCCAACCTATATCCCAACCAGGTCCCACAGCCTGCCAAGGATATCAGTTGGTGGCTGCTCCACAGAGCCTTGAGCATGGATGTGTTCACAGAGTTTCCTGACACTTGCCCATTCTTCAGTAACAGGGAAATCC